ACCGAGGGTACCCTGCTGTCACTGGGTCCATTTCAGAATTAGATTTAAGGTATTTTGTAAAATATAGGGTAAGGCCTAAAACAGTATGAACTTTGAGGGAGTCGTTTTTGGAAAAATCGAAACTATACATTATCGGTAGAATTATTTAATTCTCTATCGGGCTCCAAATCGCTATCACTATGACTATAGAGTAGTTCACTTTCCTCTTGATGATTCTCTTTCGTCTTAGAGTTAATGTCGTCATTATTACGGTTAACTGGATTACTTGTGGTAGCGTCCGTGATGGAGGATAGGGGTTGTAACTGATTTGTTTCATGCAAGTAAAAGGACGCGTTACGTTCGTATTTCTGCCACATCTGAACCGTCAGCTCCACATTCATATTTTTCATATTGATTTCTGTGAGACCACGATTAGCCTCCTTGACAACATCATTAAGTTTGGCCATGTTATTTACAATACGCTCGAATAATGCATTTTGGGCCTGCTCGTAAGGGTTCTCGATGACGACCGTCTTTGGGGGAGCAGGCGACTGGTTGTGTGGCATCAGGTTGGCATTATTGCCGTAAGTACTATTACCAATCGCATTTGTATTGACATAAGTTGGTCTTCTATTATGGTTGCTGCTGTATGGTTGTCTATTGAGGTCCATTATTGAAAATATATTTTTGGTCTGTGATATGATTTAGCTTTAAAGAAAAATAAAAACAAGGTGCCTTTAAGGTGCGATAGATGAAGCTATATATATGGGTAACATTTTGCTAGTCCCAATTATAGTAGAGCATGGGCGAGTGAAAAAGGTGCAGGATTTCTAACCAAAAATTTCTAAATCAGTATGAGAAAAATCAGTATCAAAATAACATATTTTTGAATTAAGAACAGATATTTGTAACTATAACGAAAACGGGTATTTCGTAGTCTAATTATGTATGAAGTCTATTACGAAAGAGATAATACTATGGGGCTTTCTAGAGTAGTGGTAACATTCTTGCCTACCCTATTTAGTTCTTACAGGTCCAGCCAGAACTCTTTTGGTCCAACAAAGGTAGGGAGGCACCTAAACACCAACCCAATTCGTTACCTTTGATAGTTTTAGCAATCTTAACCTCACGGTGAATGGGGATTTCATAACCGTGGTGAAGAACGGATAACATGAATGACAAATCTAAACAAAACTCGGGTTCAGCTTTAATTCCCTTTACGGCATCTTCAATAGCGCTGAAAGACTCCCAAGCGCCAGGGCCCTTGCAAACTTGACGGTTCAAGTCACTTAAATCGTCAATAGAGAACGATGAGGGCATACCCAAGGGGAAGGTACGATCGTAGAAGTAAGAGAAAATGTAAATATCTGCTTCACGTAAATATGACTTGGTCAAGGACGGCTGGTGAATACCGTTGAAAGAACATGGTTCAACCAGACAAGCAGCTTCTTTTTTAAGAATGGTTTCAGTTAATTGGCGACACTGTAAAGCCGAACCTTCATTAGGTCCAACCATATCGACAGTAAACTTCTGTTTAGCATTAGTTTCGGGGTCAGTAAATTCAACCTTGACGTCCTTGACAGATAAACTGGGGGAAATACAAGGATTGATTAACTTAAGATTACTAGACTTGTCAGAGGTAAAGTCAAGACCAGACTTGTAATGGTTGAGTGCAACAAGGTTATTAACTTGCTTACGAGCTTCCATGAGTCCGTAGCCCAAATGAGAATGTTGGTACAGCTCAAAGTGTCTTCCACCAAAGTCCAAACTATAAACGTGATCACCAGGAGACATCTTTTGGGGGTGTTCAAAGTTGGGCTCAAACACAATTTGAGTGGAACCACCACCTAAGTCAAAAACGGCAGCAGTGGGTGTTTTCTCAGGAGAACCAATGTTACCTAACAAGTAATTGGCAGTAATCCAAGCATAAACACCTTCATCAGAACCATCCATAATAGAAATACCGTCATTGGGGACAACGGGGAAAGGGAAATCTTCTTCAAGATGCTTACGCACAGCATCTAAAATTAATTTACTCTTAAGTTCACCTAATAAACGTAAACCAGCAGTAGCCTTAACAGCAACAGGGGTACATTTTTGTAGATCATCAGGGACAGTATCAAGAGCGAGTTTCAGAAGTTCGTCTAAGGATTTAGCAGCTTTTTCGGGATCATCTGGGAAAGAAGACAGGCCAGGCTTAATCATTTTGAATTGTTCATCGAGAAGAATAGGAACAGCTTGACAATTATTGAAAGTATAGACATGGACGCGCGAACCAGTGGAGCCTGCATCAATCATGATGGCATACTGAGTCACAGGCTTAATACCATCAAAAGAACGAGTACAGGTGGTAGAAGAACTAGCCGAAGTTTCGCTAATAGTAGTAACCGAGGTTCTCGGTCTAGTAAACAAAAAGAGCAAAACAATCAAGGCCGAGGCTACCAAGCCAAAACGCACCATACGGGCGTTTAAGCTACTCTTCATTTTATTGATGTATCTTCAGCTGTTTTCAGTTTTAAAACCAAATGAAAATATAATCAGTTGAAAAAAGGAGTTTGACAACAGAAAACCAAAAGTGTTTATGAATATAGATCCTGTTAAAATACTATGTGGTGTCCTTACTCCCAAAACTTCAGCAGATGCGTAAGGTACGTACCGTTCCGTCACTCTAAGACATTCTGATAGGGAGCTTTTTTATACTCTTTTCAACACGATCTCATTTATCAGTTTTTTTTGATCCAGGAATTTTCAGCGATACCAATAGAAAATACGTATACCTTTAGGTATTATATATTCAAATATATATTATCCAAATAGTATGCACTCTTCGTCTTCTCGTTCGTCATTTTCAGGTACACCCTGTTATGTTCACTCGCGATTCGGAACCGCACTTCAGGTAGATAATACCCTACGGACTTTATCGACAGATGATGTAACCAAGCTATCTCATTCCCGATTGTAAGTTTACCCAAAACAAGACATTCATTTTCAAGCAAGAGCAACGCAAAAAAGATTTAAAATGTGGGTTATGGATATAATGTTAACCTAAACTATGATTACTTGTGCAGTGTCCAAACCGCCACTGGCGTACGAAAATTAGCTAAGCAGCTAGGTCGGGCTACCATTCATATTCGAGTTGGATCCATTCTTATTGTTACCAAAGCCAGAGATAACTCTCTGGTGTATTTAACTCGGGAGCTCACCGAATGGATTTTAGGAGAAAATCCTGGTATTATAGTATATGTAGATGCCAAGCTAGAACATTCTAAGCGATTCGATGCGCTTGGAATAATTGCGAAAAATCCCCAGAACTACGGGTCCAAGCTTAAATATTGGACACCACAGTTAACTGTTTCTTGTCCCGATGCCTTTGATCTGGTTATCACTCTAGGTGGTGATGGTACCGTTTTATATGCTTCGGGTCTTTTTCAAGGAACTGTACCACCGGTTATCCCATTCTCTTTGGGTAGTTTGGGGTTTTTGACAAATTTTCCTTTTGAGAAATATAAATTACATCTTAAACGGGTATTTGAACATGGAATAAACGTCAACCTTCGTATGAGATTCACATGTACAGTATACCAAGCTGATGGAACTAGAACAGTAAGACAACAGGTATTAAATGAGCTGGTTATTGATCGAGGGCCTTCGCCATTTATCTCCATGCTGGAGCTTTATGGAGATAGTCATTTATTAACTATTGTTCAGGCAGATGGTTTAATTTTAAGCACACCAACAGGATCGACTGCTTATTCTCTTTCCGCCGGCGGATCGCTAGTTCATCCCGAAATCCCTGCGATATCTGTTACGCCGATCTGTCCGCATACGCTATCGTTTCGACCAATGCTTTTACCTGACTCGATGAGCTTAAAGGTTGTAGTACCGAAACACTCGCGTGCTATGGCTTGGGTTAGTTTTGACGGTCGCAATCGTGTTCAACTAAAATCCGGTGATTATGTTACTGTCACAGCAAGTCAATATCCGTTCCCAACGGTAGTGAGAAAGAAAACAGACTATTTTGATAGTGTTAGTCGAAGCTTACATTGGAATGTGAGACAAAAACAAAAACCATTATCAAATAACGCGTCTGATTCGAAGAAAATAAACAGTTCTTCATCTTCACCAGTCGTTTCATCATTATCCCGAAACCTAGCATTATCAGCCCGATCCAATCGAAATTTATTGCCAAACTCTTCCGGTAATAAGAAGGCACCAGCCAAGTTTAGTGTGCATATGAGTGATGATGATGATGATGATGACGACGATGATGATGACGACGATGATGAAGATGAAGATGAAGATGATGATGAGGAAGAGGAATATAGCAAAAAACACGATAACGAAAATAGTGATTTCAATAACTTTGGTGACGATGTATATGACACTACTGATAATGATGATCAAGAACATGACTTTGTTTTTGATTCCCGTAAATCGAGTACTATCCCGAAAAACAACAATAGAATAAGATCACGGAACCCTATCGGTCGGCTCAGACTAGAAGAAGCCATCGAGGATTCTGATTCAGAGAGTTTTGATATTTATGAAACAGATGATAATCTTTAGAAAGGCTTCTCAGATTTGTGCATACGTATAAGTATTTAGACCATCTGGAAGTATTTGTACATATGAAATAATTTGGTCTCGCTTATATATTAATTTATATCAAAACTAGTCGAATTAAAATGTTTTACAATACTTAATTTTCTTCCTTAGAATCAAAAAGTATATAAACTTGGATGTTGAATAAATACAAATATAATTGGTCGACCTTCATATGTCAGCTCATGTTATTATTTCAGTGGGGTCACCCACTGGGAAGACTAAAAAATATTCCTCTGAATTTAATTAAACTTTAAAAAGAAGAATATCTTAGTATACAAAATAAAAACAAATCAGGGATAAAAAAACTCAGGGATAAACAAACTCAGGAATAACATTTTTCAAAGTGAAAGTCTACAATAAAAACAAGTTCTTAGTTAGTAGTCATTATTTTCAAAAACTTTTCACTAGAAGAAAATGGTTTTGTAGTGTAGTTGGTTATCACCACGGATTTTGATTCCGTTAACCCCGGTTCGAATCCGGGCAAGACCTTCCAGACTTCGTGGCCAAGTTGGTTAAGGCGTGCGACTGTTAATCGCAAGATCGAGAGTTCAACCCTCTCCGAGGTCGATTTTTTTTTAAAACTTTGGATAGTCAATGACTGGTTTGATGAAAGCCCGAGTTTTCAACGCTTGATTTTTATTTAGGTGTCTTGGTTATATCTTGATATTTAGTTTTCATTCATGTGTTGTTTTCACTCTTCATTTAATGTTCGGATGGATATAGTGTTTTTCAAATCCTACTTTTTAAGTATGTAATGACCAAAGCTATTCTGTACTTTTTGTTTTTATATCCTTATATTTTTATCAACTATGTTCAATTATTTCATATTTATGTACAACTCTTGTGCTGATTTTAGGCTAGATTTTTATGATCTAGCCTAAACCAAAAAATAATTAATTACAAGGAAGCTAAAGAAGGCTAAGAGGGAATCTAGAAACTTAAGATATGAACCTGGATAAAATCCACTTACGTCCATATTTCCTATCAAAAAGCTACAGTCAAGATTTAGATTATAAAAGAATTAAATATTATTGAGAATAGCGATTTCAAAAAAAAAAATCATAATTGGTTATAATAATAAATAAGAGTTTTAGGTTCATGGTTTTAGAGGCATTAAACCATTTTAAGAATTACTATCTTCTATTTATTTTTTTATCAGAAAACACGACATATTTCCAAAAATAGACTAATATATATACCTATACACGACTAATATGATGAAAATATTTGAGTTATTATAACCTATTGAACATGCTTGAAAGTTTTGGTTTTTCTTGATTATGATTTTAATAAAACTTCCAATTGTCGTAAAGATTGTCCCGGTACTTATAATAAGAATTGCTCGAACAATCATTAAAGTTAATTCACTATCATTTAATACAGCTTTACTATCAAATGTGTTCTCTTCCATGAATCAATCAAAACTCATAAGGGTAATTTCGATTAGTCTGGAGATCTTCACCAAGGTTACTCAATTATTGGTTTTTCTGCTTTTGTCTTCGAAGATTCTGACACAGCTATTTTTGAAAAATTCACGAACATTGTACCGGCTTCTGGCTAGTTTTACAACAAATTTTCGTAAAACTCTGTGGTATTTCAAAGTTTTCACTAAGGTTATCCGATCAATATTAAACAAGATTCCAAATTTTTTAAAACAATCGTCTATGATTTACAAAATATTACAGATAATAGTTATTCTAGCGCTTTTTGTGCTTAGAGTTTTTACTCAAAGTGTACCGTTATTCTGGCAGAAAATGAAGAACAAGTCAGGCAGTAAGTGAAGGACTGGTAATAAAATCAGTGTTAAAATCGCATAATATGATAACCGGAGTTCACTAAAAAACACTGAATTTTGTCAATATTCATTCGATTTATCTAAAAATAAAATTTTGATACTAAAGACTTGAAATTGCATACCTCTATCAAAAATTCAATCAACCTTGTTGAATATCATTATTAGTTATGCAGATTTAGAATGATAAAATTTACATTTGTTTCTCACGATCTGTATTTTGAATAAATTAATTTTCAATTTATAACAACTAGTAAAACTGAAACTTCAGCGAACAAAATATTATGTTTAAAAAGGTCATAGTAGATAAAAAATGAGATTATTTTTAAGCGAAAACTATACTTTCCCTCGCAGCTTAAAAGCCAGTTATTGTATACTACACTCATCAAGGCTTGGTTTTTCTAGAGCCTCAAATTTTAATCAAAAAATACTCAAGAACTTGAATACTATTACTCGAGAGCGTATAAGTTTTTTCCGCTTTTAAAACATATGCTTATTTAATTAAGAATACAAGAATAAAAAATTCTGGACCCAAAATTCTAAACTAAGTAAACCACATAATAGTTGTAAATTAGCTACACTTTAACAGCACTAAATTTAATCAAAAAAGTGTATCAGATAAACATCCTATGAATTAATCCTAGCCATGAATTGCTTTGAAAGAGCGAATAGAAAAAAAATTGGGTTGAAAAAAAGAGACTTCTTTAATTTTCGTTGTGAAAAACTCATTTAATTCCAAATTTACTAAAGGATAATACATTTATGTACATTATTGGAAATGATCTTAAAAAAACAAAAAAATTGTTAACATATATTAAAAAGAAACCTGTTAATTCTAATTTTTAGATTTTCTCCCTTTTAGTCGAGTATACTCAATATACTCTTTTTTATGTAGAAGACCAACGAACCTACCCTCTTTTAAAATACAAAGCTGGCGTGTACCCATTTTGACAAACATCATTTGAGCCAAAGCTACCGATGACCTAATGTCAATGCTAATGGGAGATCGATCAACTAGAGGCGTTAAATCTGTGAACTTCACCGGAATCATCAACTCATTATTGTTTTCAGTTTCACTGGTGTTTAGGTGTCTCATCGTTGGGCACTCTTCATCCGACACATGCTTGGCAAAAATTTTAGTACCAGAATTAGCAGAAGATACCGAATAAGTTCGTTTTTGATCACCAGAAATGAATTTAAAGGAGGAAGCTCGCCCTTTGTGCTCATTCATGTAAAAATGCTCATACTTGGCTAAATTACTGTTGTCAGAAAGCATTTCACATTCGATAGAATCATAATCTGTAATACCAGACCAAATACAGTAATCTTGCAAAATATCCAAAGCATATTCCAGTTCTAGCGCTGGTAACAAGCCCACTAATATCTTATTTCGACTTTTCGTTCTTTTAACTAGAGGTATGCTTCCATCCAGTCCTTTTAAAAACTGAATACTATTCAAAATTAGCTTCAGCTTTTCAACAGAAACTGAGGTAGTATCAGTAACATCAAGCATCAAGTTAGAAGGTAACGGGGAAATTATATCACCAACCTCAATATCAACAGCCATAGTTGATACATCGGCAGCTCGATTGTCTAAGAAGGGAAAGTCATTCTTTTTTATCAGATACTCGTAAATACTAAATGGCTCAATGATTTTCGCAGTCCAGTTTGCAAATAAAATGGCTACTGAGAATGGTAAAACATGAGTTAAAGATCCAGTTAATTCGAACAAAATAACGGCTAGGGTAACATTCATTCTAGTGATACCCGCCATGAAAGCACCGGCCCCCACCATGGCATAAATACCTGGTACGATATCACCTAGCCCAATATTAATAAAACTATCAGCATATATAACTCCAAGGCCAATTATACGTCCAAATAGAGCACCTATAACCATTGAAGGCACATAAATACCAACAGGTATTTTCATACCAAAGGTAACACAAGTCAAGACAATTTTAATCAACAGAGCAATTGAAAGATTAGAAATTACTTTCGGAATGCTATGCGGAACTAAGGGGCATAAACCACCATGATTAATACCAGGGCTACATGGCGATGCTAACTGGAACAGCAACTCGGCTACAGAAATCTTAGTATGTCTGTTGAAAAATGTGACAGAACCCGTCACAAACGCAATGAGAACAACCTCAAATTTAGGATTTTGAGAAATAATTTTCTTGGTCCGAAAAACTTCTGGCCACCACCGACAAAATTTACAAAAGAAAGCACCAAATATTCCACCACAAACACCTAAAAACACAAAAATCCCTAGTTCTAATGCTTTCCACTCAGTTGAATACGAAACTTCGAATAAAACAATATGCCCGGTCTTATAAGGGTCCCAAAATTTTAAAAAGAGTGCAGACATCATAGCACAAAAAAAGACTCTAAAAAGTTGATCCGGTAAGAAATAATAACTCACCTCTTCCAAACTGAACAAAACACCCCCCAATGGACTACCAAAAGCTAAAGCTACACCAGCACTAGCAGCGGCTGATAATACTTGCCTTCTTTTCAAATCATTTTGACTAAATTTTTTGAACAGACGACATGAAATATTACCCACGCAGGTTGCAAGATGTACATATGGGCCTTCCTTGCCTAGACTCATTCCAGATGACACGGAAAATATTAATGCAATAGATTTGTTAATTAAAGTGTAAGTTCCCAAAAACCTTCGAATAATGAAACCAGATAGTATAGTTTTTACTTCCGGCACACCGCTACCATAACTATTATAAAAGGTACGTTTTTTCTCACTGAGCTCAGTCTCAGAATTTGAGCTGCTTACCCCGGATTGAAAAGCATTATCTGTATTAGCAGATACATCGGCTGTAATTGCAATTGACTTATTCTTGAGAGTTAATGTAACAGAAATATAAGCCATGAGCACTGTTCCTGCTAGATAGGCAAGGAAATCAATAGTAGGGTTATCAGCAGGTGAATTCTGAAATACTTCAGACCAAGTACGCCAGTCTGAGCAATTATCAAATGGATCTGAAGAATCACAACACAAACTTTCTCGAGTAAACCAATTTTTGGCGCAGTAGCCCCGTTTCAAATCAAATATAACGGCTTCGCTAACATCAATGCAATAAGCTAAAAGCGAGCAGACAAAGGCAACTATTGTAATGATAATCCAGCCTTGAGCAGCATCAAAAGATCTCATTAGCTTTCCTCGCAGCCCAGGTACTTGTGACAATATTTTACAACGAGCAGATTCTCTCAATGAATCGTGAACCCAGTCAACAGTAGTAAAATCATCATAGAATCGACGTGTAGGTCCCGTCCCTTCAGAATCGAGGGGCATCGCAGTAGAAAAATAGTGATGCTGAAAATTTTCTGTACTACCAAAAACTGATTCAGATTCGCCGGTTATTGGCTGAGAACAATTATTTGAATTATAAAAGTCAAAATAGGATGATTTAACAGTTCTTACTTTTGGTGAACGCATGGATGCGTTTGCAAGATCCCCATAATATGCATCCAACCCATTTGACTTATCCAATGAAGATTGATCATCTAAAATATCAGAATCATTATCTGAGGGGGATATAAGCCCACTTCGGCTTAAAAAGCTTTTTAAATTTCGTTTACTTGCACTTGGAGTATTCAACACATGGTCACTAGCCTTTCTCCTCGCCCCTTGATGCGAGATAAGCTCTGGGTCTGGTCCTAGATAAGACTTATT